AGATTAAATCATTGGCACACGGTACAATTTTTCATGCTATATCACAAATTAGTAAATTATTAGAAATGCTGCACGCCTAGTGATGCATTTCTAGTAATTTAATAACATGCGATTTAGCATAAAAAAAAATCGTACCATGTGCCGTTGCTTTTAGATCATCGATCGCATATAAAACGTGAATTCTTTGGATGGATCGATAAAGAGGAGTGCTAGAAAGAGACAGTCTCGAACCACACGGTAAATGAATGGCGCGACGGGAGAAGATGGAAGGGAGAGAAGGACAAACTATCGGCGGCGGAAGAGAGAAAGAGAGAGAGAGAGACAGGGAGAGAGAGATCGCGGAGAGGCCGGATGTGACGCGACAACACATAACGACGACTCGCTTGTAGATTGCATTCGATGCTCGCGCAAAAGCAGACGAGAGGAAGAAACGAGTCGGCAGGATACAGACGAGGAGGAAAGATTGTGAGTAGCGAAAGAGAAAGACAGATAGTAGAGACGGAGAACAGGACGGAGAATGGGCAAAGAGAGAAGAGAGAAGATCGAAATGGAGGAACGTGAGATAACGGAGTTGGCAAACATGAAGATAGCGTGGTGCTGGTATTCTCGTGTTATTTGAGCGAGAATGAGAGAGAGAGAGAGAAAGAGAGAGTGAAGAATAAGAAAGAACGAATAAGAGGGATATATATCGCGAGTGAGAAGGGAAAAAGAGAGAGAGAGAGAGATAAGCGATTATATAGCGAGATTCGAGCGCGAGTTTGATCCGCTACTGGGAGTCGGGAGAGCTCGATAGGCTTACAATTAGCCTTAGGATATCGAGAGTACATCTGTGGCGTGTAGAATTAACTTACTGTATGATTAACCCGATCCAGGTATCGATACAGTGCGCGCGCATATTTAAAGCAATACGTCAGAAGGTCGCGTGTTTCACACACACAATTGAACTTGTTCAAATACAATTGAATTAGCCATGTTACTGACAAATGCAGAATAATGGAGAAATGTTTAATGATTTAACACACATTATTCTACATATTAATTTCTTGCATGGCAGTGATAAGGAAAAATAGAAAAAAATCGATCCTTTTGCAAAAGATATGCGGTATTTGTATTTCATATTTTTCTAATAATCTTATTATATACTTTAATATCTTTTGCAAGTGATGGTCAGGTTTTTTCGAGTTTAACGGATTTTTCCCCGACTATATTGATGAATTGATGCGCGATGTATCGAGAACCTGCTTTTAGTCTCTTTAATTTTATCCATTAAAAATACATTTAATTAATGGATAAATGATGAAATAGTCGAATACGTATCGATAAGATATTTTTTTATCCAACTTTCTCTCAATGTGTTTAAATATAAAATATACAATTCTCATAAATAAATATATATTTCATGAATAATATATTGGTTTTCGATATCTTGGAAATCGTTTCTTACCTATAATGAAACGAAGAATAAACTAGGACAACGGTCACCATGTGCACGAAAGAACGATAGATATGCATATATTCGCTTTTCCTGCTGTTCAGTCTTTATCTGAGACATGCATATTCGTGTAACGCAAAAGCACAAGTAAAACGGAAAGAAACATGTAGAAACCGTTATCTTTTCTTATTATTAAAACTATCAGAGTATACAATTGGGATAAATGTTAAGATAAAATATAATAAATGTCTAAAATATTTATTCTGCTCTAAAAATCGACTGAAAATTAGTCAGAAAATGGTTAATCGATGCATTCATTGTGGTAATATTATATCTCGTAAAAGGATAATTATATTATATAACGGAATGTCAATGCGAATCCTCAATGAGTTCTCAACGAGTTGTACAAGTCGTGTGAGAAGATTACGTTTGGATCGAATCTCGAGAGAGAATCCGAGGCTATTCGTTCTCGCACGCCGGTTGAGTCGCCTACTTTTGCACCATGCGTGGAAATCATGGTTTCATTCATGCCGGATCGACTTGGCGGCGTATATGGCGCGTGTGTGTGTCTCTCGTCAGGCATGTGCGAGAACGTCATCGATAGAGCTCTACGCTCTACCTCGTCGAACAATCGATGTGTATCGTAGCGCGCTTGCACGAGAGGATATGTAGGCCCAGTCGCGCGCGCGTGTGTGTGTGTGTGTGTGTGTGTATGTATGTGTGTGCGCGCGCGCGCTCGAAGCTCGCACGGCGAGCCGAGTAGCATTCAAGGCGTGTGGTGCCAATGAGAGCGAGCGAACGACATGTTCCGAGCCTCTGTGTCAATAAGCCTCGTGCACACGCACGCACACAGGCACCGCGCTATAGCGGGTGACTCCGCAGAAACGCCGCAAAACGACCTCGCTGTTCGGGGACACGTCGCGTCGCGAGAAATTTCACAACGCGAACGCGTTTTCAACGATATCGATCGACTACACTGAGAAAAAAAAGTTGTTAACTTGACTAAATGCGTTCAACTGATTATCATTTTTTTAATTGAAATATTTAAGTACTTGAGTCAAATACGTCATGTTAGATTTAATATGTCGTATTTAATTTAAATACTTAAATATTTGAATTAAAGAAATAATAATTAGTTGAACGCATTTAGTCAAGTTAACAACTTTTTTTTCTCAGTGTAGAAACTAAAATGAATCCGTTTATTATCTAGTAATCTAGTGGATTAAACCGAGCTCTAAAAATGTAGTATTACGTACCCGGCAAACTTTTGTACGATAAGGAAGCAGAAAAATCCACAGCGATTAAAATCGAGACGATCGATAGTACTTTATGAAAATTGTATTTGCGGAAAGTACGCGCGTCTTTTTAAGAATAAAGGATATTTCTCGTAGATTTTCAATTTCGGCCTACATGATAATTCATCTCCAACGGCGAAAGAGAGAGGAGGGCATACGCGAGCGCGCGTGCATTTACGCGCAACAGTGTGAGTTTTACGAAAGACGACGACGCGACTTTCTCGCAAACTTTCTACACCTGTGGGTTTCATTCACCGCTTCGCCCCTGTGACTGGTTCAGTCTAACTGGTCTCTATGAAAGCGTAGTGTGACTCAATGCGCGCAACGAGTCACGCTGGTCTAACCGTCGATAGAGTTGGCACGAAGTCGCGCGACCTCGTCCAAGAGAGAGAGCGACGACGCGGTGAAGGAGACGGACAGATTTATTGTGTTCCGCGAGAAAATTCGCCGAGAACAAATACGCAATGAAAATATATCCAAGTATACGAGCAGCTAAAAATATTGAGAAGAACCGAGAATAAGAGAGAAGAGAGAAGAGAGACGAGAAAAGGGGAAAATCTCTTATAAGAGATTTCAAATTTAACTTTCATTTTCATTTATTAATCGAGCTTCTAAAAAAAATTTGAATTAAACGCACAATTTGAAACAAACAATGGCTATTTTTGTAATATTATTATTAATACGTGTTCTCAACATACGAGAATTAATATTATAGTAGAAAATTTTTAAGAAAAATTACTATACGAAAAAGTATACGACGTAATTTCAGAGTAACCTAACGTAATTTTAAACGATACGGAGAGCGATATAACAAAAAGATGGAACGATATAACAAAAAGATGGAGCGAATGGACAACTCGATCCGATCAATTTCCGTCGGAGAACGACGCAGATATTTTTCGGAGCTTTATCGCTCTCGACCGGCGATGATTAGCGCCGGCTTGGAAATAACAAGGCGGAATTTCGTAAACGAGCACGCGGTTTCCAGATTTACCCGCGTTCCCTATCTCTCTCTCTCTCTCTTTCGTCGTCTCGTTTCCAAATGTTTCGTCTGCGTTTCGCCAAGAACGCGACATGTGAATAGTGTACGAAGTATCGTGAATGTAACCAATATAACTTTTGGTCTATATGGATTTTTCGACGAAACAAGAGTTGTAAAAGATGTTTGCCCGATAAAAATTCAAATGTTGCAAGTTATACGTCTCGGTATCGAATATTTTGACGCCAAAATCCGAATAAACATTTTCGAACAAACTAGAATTAATCGAAATTTCACGACTCTTAAAAATTTGTAGAAACGCATCAGAGCAATTAACACCGTTAACGACTGGAATTTTCAAAACGATAATCATTTTTCGACTCGTAATAGTTTGTTAGCTTCAGGTCACCCCGTATGCCGTTACTAATGACATACACACAAGCGCGCTGTGAATCGACGGTTATGCGCTCATTACGAAACCCCGGTTCTCTTCTCGTCGACTACGAGAGTACGGGCAAATAAACAGAAGCGAAGCGACGGGCAAAATGAAAAATAAAAAAAAAAAAAAACAAAAAAAAAAAAGGAAAAAAGAAGAGGAGCGTCGGCAGCCAGTTGGTCCGGGTCATTTGCCCGTCAGCCGTCCATCCCGGATGTTGTTTTTCCGACGAAATCTTTTTGATAAACTTCCAATCGACCATGGCGGGAGACACGTATCTAGCGGTATGTTAATATATCCATCATTTTTACCTGTGGGCAACGATATACCCGTCGGCGCGATAGCCCTATTGCTGCTATAACGGCGCGCTATTCGCCGATAGCGCAATATCGCGAATATTACTGTGTATCGGCGAGCGAAGGTAACCACGTGGCATTTGTCGCGTCAGTTTAGAGAGATGGCTAGATAGATAAATATGAAAAATCTTCAATGCGCGCGACGTAATTTAACTTACTTTAAAATTTAATAATTCCCCTCCCCCCGTCTCAAAAAGTTGTAAATATTTTTACTTCTTTTATCATCCTCACACGAAATGTCGCGTTCCGCTTGATCAAGGGGACTCGCCCACGCGTTTGTTTATAACTATCCTGTACTACTTTGAAAACACCGATAAGACTACATTCACCAATCTTTTCACAAACGCCACTATTTTTCCTCGCGCATAGCACGCATTCTAATTAGGATGCAGCATTTAATGCTAGATTAACGCGTGACTATCTTGGAGCAACTTGGAGAACGGTCGTTGCACGTCGCACGCGAGATAAAAAGATTAGATTATAAAGAAATTCGTGCACTCACCGGTACGACTAGGGGGCCGTGGAGGCGCAGGATACTGGGGCGGCGTCAAGAGTGGCGGCTGCGGCGACACTCGAACAACGGCCGAGGAGGTCGTTGAGCCTTGGGGGGACGTGGACAACGTGGCTGGCACAATCGCGGCCGCTGTCGTCGTCGTCGTCGTCGTCGGCGCCGTCGTTGCCGTATTATTCGCCGTCGACGCCGGACGTCGCGGCGCGACGCACCTTAATACGACGGCGGCGTTGAACGGTCGAAGCGGCTGCCGCGGAAGCAGCGCCGGGGGCGGGTTGTTGTCCGAGGTATCCACACTTTCGGCACTTCCGTTTCACTTGTACTCCTTTTTTACCACGGGTATACGTATAGAACGTCGCGCTCCGAATACTACGCCCACTTTGACAGAGGAAATATATGTATATATATATATATAAATATACATATACGCGCGCGCGCGTGTGTATATATGTACGTATATATATGTACATTCGCGAGAACGAGAAATTACGACGCGAGAGTACGGTTCCTGCTTCGCCACTTCCGGTGCACCCGAGAGAGACTGAACGTCGGCTCGTGAACTCAAATTCCACCTCTTCCTGCTTCTCCTCCTTCTCCTCTCTTCCTCCTCCTCCTTTTCCTTCTCCAACTACTCCAACTACTCTACTACTGCTATACTGTCGTTCCCGCCGCCGCCGATGCTGCTGCTGCTGTTACTATTACTACTACTACTACTACTACTACTTCTACTACTTCTCCCCGCTCGCACTTCCGGCACAGGTCACAACGTCACAGCACGCAAGCACATACGTATCTTCCAAGGCGAACACGATCCGTGAGTGCGGAAACGACATTAGAGGCGAGCCGGAGCGCACGCGCGCGTGCGCGCGCGCGCGCAAGCTCGCTCGCTTCGACTTCTCTCGACTCGATCGAGAATGCGGCGAGCAACGCCGCTCGCGCTCACGTCCAGAGCTGGATAGACCGGCCAGGAATGTAGCAAACGAGACGGAGAGAAAGAAACAGAATGACGGCCGAGAGTACGAAAGAGAGAAAGAGAAAGAGAGAGAGAGAGAGACACACGCGCGGTGACACGACACACAGCGACGAGGAGAGATCGGTACACCGCGGGGTCCTCTCGTACACTGGCCAATACACATACGACACGCTTCTCTTTCGGTGCCCCGAGCCCCGAGCCCCGAGCCCCGAGCCCCGAGCCCCGAGCTCCGACACGACGCGCTCTCGATATGCTCTTCTCTCTCTTTCTCTCTCTCTCTCTCTCTCCCTCCCTTTTCCGCAGAGCTCGTCCGCGCTCGCTCCTGAGCGAGAGGGAGAGAAATCGCACTGTTACTACCAACGCGCGAGACAGAGACGGACAGTGGAGCGTGAGAGAGATAAAAGTACAGGGGAAAGAGAGAGAAGGAGATACACAGAGATTAAAGTGGGGAGAGAGTCGGAAAGAGAAAGAGAGATAGAGGGAGAGAGAGAAAAGAGAGGGAAAGGAGAAAGAGAGCCGACTGAATCTCGCGTAGGCTGTCTGCCAGTAAACAGGCTCCTTCATTCACTGCTTATTTTATACGGACGGCCCCTATATGCCCCACAGAAATAGCCACTCTCGTTCCGTCCTCGTCGCACGCATGCACGCACCATGCACGCACGCACGTACGTACGTACGTTTGTACGCATGGGCCGGATACGCTCTCTCGCGCTTGCGTCTCTCTCTCTGTCTCTTTTCCAATCCGACTCTCTCACCCCCCGTGTTTCTGGCTAACCTTTCTCTCGCGCTCCCGCATTCGTGTCACGCGGCTCGCATCTCGGATAACCGCGTTGGTCTCCGTAAAAAAACGCCAAGCGGGAGTATGTCGTGACGGCCGCACTCCTCGTCGCGCATCCTTCCACCCTCTCGGCGACCTTTTCTCCTCAATGTCCTTTCCCTCTCTCTTCGAGGCGTTGACTCTTTCGACCGACCGCGCCGAGGGATGCTTCGCTCTCTTCCGTTACGAACAGTAGCGCGTCGTCGACGCCGTCGATGACGACAGGTGCACCGATACCCTTCGTCCGATTTGTAGATTGTTGACGGTATCCGAAATTCCTTTCACTCATACGTCTCCATTGTCGTCGCTCCGACGACGGTAAACAATATTTGCTCGCAGTATTTATTTCGCGCTCGTTTCTTTTACGAAAACTTTCCTCCGTCTTTGAACCGGAGCTATTTTCCCAACGTATCACCGTAACGCGTCTTTAATGACGACACGCGCGAATGACGGCAGTGACGATTTTTTGGCGAAGAACAGGGGGAGGGATAGATACGATATCGTGCCTTCTCAACAGATAGATAGATCGGGTTGGCGAACGATGTAGGAGTTTGCGCCTCCGCTGGTTCTCCCGAATGGCGAGCCTCCGGGTCGCACTAATGTGTATTACACATACACACCCGCACGCACACACGTAAGAGGAACACACGCGCGTGTCTCTCTGAAATACCGGGTGATATATATTTGTGCGATAGTGTGCGCGTTCTCTCTCTTTCCTCGTCTCTCGCGTCGTTGAGACGAGAATGGTGGGATTATGAGCGGGCAAAGAGTGGAAGGAAGTGAAAAGAGACAGAAAAGAAAGACCGTCAGGGGAGTTGGTCGAAGGGCGAGCAGTGAAGAGGAGCAAAGAGGACGTAGAGGGAACGATCTCGCGCGCGCACGCGTCTTGTACGCGCGTTCGCTCACTCAGCCGAGCGTACGCGAGGGAGACGATAGAGTTGAGTTTCGTGTGCGAGAGAGAAGCAAAAGTTCAGCTGGCCTCGGCAGCCATGCCGGTGTACAGCTCGTGGCGAGTGCGAGTCAGGCGCGTATTATCTCGTCGACGGGGCCACTGGTCGGATCGGATCTTTCTTTCCTCTTGATCTTTCGAGTAATATTCTTTAGCGAATCTATTTCCCAAATTATCCGCTTGGATTCTTTTCCGCTATCCGATATACTCGCACCTCCTTTCGTCCCGTTCAGCCGTCGTGACGTGACGTGACGTGACGTGACGTGACGTGACGTGACGTGACGTTTCCTAACCTCCTTTACGGCTCGCGTCACATTCGTCGGCGTAATACATCGATGGTCACGGGAGAAAGATTTTTTACCATAGGAGGCTCATACTCGCGTAAAAATTTGTCACCGTATAACGCACACGATCCGACAACACGATGGTCTTTCCGTCGTCGCGAGGTACATGCGACGGGACGTGTTCGGCAGATGCTACCGCGACGAATGACAGGACGCTCGTGTAATGTCCAATGTATCGCGTATCGCGTCCTGTGGCTTCCACAAAATGCGTTTATACAAAGTATCGTACGCAATACGACGCGACGGCTCTCTCCACAAACACAGCGGACATGCCACCGTTTATCTTTCTCTCTTTCTCTCTCTTTTTGTCCAGCAGAGTGGTGATCGCCCCCAAGCTTTCTGGAACGACCGGATGGCGCACGGCGCTGCTGCGACGGTGTAAATTTTACTCGCATACAAACAGCTCAAGCGGCGCTTTGTCTCTGTCTCTGTCTCGCTCGCTTCTCCTCTCTCTCTCTCTCTCTCTCGCTTCCTCCGTAAACGGGGCGCGCATGCGCCGCCCTCTCTCGCATTGAAAGGCGCGTATGCGCGAGGAGCAGTTTTACTCGCATACAAACAGCTCAAGCGGCGCTTTGTCTCTGTCTCTGTCTCGCTCGCTTCTCCTCTCTCTCTCTCTCTCTCTCTCTCGCTTCCTCCGTAAACGGGGCGCGCATGCGCCGCCCTCTCTCGCATTGAAAGGCGCGTATGCGCGAGGAGCAGTACTTACACGTCGCACTCACGTTCTCTCGCTCGCGCGTGCGCGCACGCGCGCGCTCGCAATACACCCACACGCGTGTCTCGTGCATCGAGGTACCGTGACGCTTGCGATCCTTCTCCCTTCTCTCCAGCCCAGCCCCGCGTCCTCCTATACTTGACGAGTCAGACACGATACTTCATTCATGCTCGTATTGTGCGGCCAGGGCCGACTCGCGGAGCCGCGATACCACGTGGGCTTTCGAACTTTTGTAGAAATGAGAGAGAGAACAAGTATATTTCGCTTTGCTGTTATAAATTTCTCTGTCGTCATTTTATCATACTCGATATACATATACGCATGTATGTTTATTTATATGTAAAATATATATTTACATTTTATACCATCTATTTATTTTGCTTTATATTCTATCGCGATTGAAAAAATCTCTCCCCCCATGACACACTTAATAATAAATCTTGCGCGTCATTTAATTCTGTGTTTTGCTTTTTTCTTTTTTTACCAAAATACGGACTAAAAAGAATTTGATCCTCGCGATGCAAGTTTTCGTTTGCGCTTGCATGCGCGTAATAATTATTAATTGTTTAAAAGACAGTAGTCGAGCGAAGTTGTCGAGGGGAGCATGGCAATAGTAGAATGGGTGTATCCGTTCAGGTGATCGAACGTTGTAACACACCGATTCTGCGGCCTGCGGCGCGTATAGTAGTATCTGGCTCTCCCACATGTCGGAGCGACTCGGTTCTCTTCGTAAACGTCCGCCGACTACATCCTCTTTCGTCCTTCTCACACTCGTCGCCCTTTATGAACCGTCGCTCGCTCTCCCTTCGATCTCCTCTCTCTATCCTCTATCTCCTCGCCCCCGGCCCCGACCTCGCTCCTCCTCTCCTGCCGCAACATTCTACGCTCGTTCCATTTGCTTGCGGATATGTCGTACGGAGGTGCCGTGTGTGTATTAAATATATGTTTGTAGGCGCGTTGCTCCTCCTATATACCCGCCTAGGCAAACGGCAAGAGAGAGAAAGAGAGAGAGAATAGAGTAAAAGCGATATGTCCTTTTCGTCCTTTTTACGATAAAACCATAAACGCAATTCCAGCGATATTATGTTTCTTTCTCGATATGCTTTTCTCTACTTTATATGTTAATAATTATGAATTACAAGTCACATTTTAATGTGTTAATAATATAATTATTAATATATTCACAACCTTATATAAGAATTATAATTTATAAAAGTTGGGCCCGTCCAGTTCACATAATTAGTTGTATGAAAAATGACTATGTCGATAAATCAGAAACTAACGCAATAACTCAAATAAGTTTATTTTATATAAGCAACAATTTCGCTTCATCAGATTTTTTATCGTAATAAAAGAAAATAATATGGAGATTAAACGAGGAAACGTATATCGTCGATGACGATCGCTGGAGAACCCCTGATAAACCCCTGATAATATACACCTATAGAGGTTGAAGACGTTCATTCATAATTTGCATCATGATTTATTGGAAATCCTGTTGCGAGCAAAACACGCGCGTGAATTTTATCGTTCTGCGTTTTACGAGAAAGAATGTGCACAGTTTGCAAAATTACGATCTAGTAGTTTTCCAAACAAATTCATGGGGATTATAAGCGTATACAATTGCAGTTATAACATTAAACTTTTCGGATTAAGCAAAGTATTTACAAAAATATTAAAAACATCAGTCAATACCAAATAGTCTAATATTGCAATTCTCGGAATAATAATGATTTTTAATAAAAATGAAGCATCTTTCGACGTAAAAAAAGATAAAATTGAATGAATCTTTTTCAGAGAGTAACAGGACGTACATACTTGAGGGGAGCGCCTTGGCTTATCTAATAAGGTAATACGGGCGAGAACGTTGTATCGTACACGTATCACGTATGTACACATATATAGGGAGATACTCAAGGTCCCTCACGGAGCATTAGTTTAAGTTACACTACACTCTATGGTCTTTGCGAATTTAACACGGAGGCGCGCACCTGTCCAAAAGTGGCCGTGGGGTACAAAAGTTGAAAAAGAACTGCACCCCTAAAGATTATCGCTGTCGTTAAAAAGTTTTTTTGCAATACTATATTTCGTATCCGCTACTGTCCCACATTCATCATTTCATTTCATTTTCTATGTTTATTTCAAGCATACTCAAGCCGTATGTATCATATTGAATATTTATGCAACATGACTGTTGTGGTTGAAAAAATACGAAATATATATTTATCATTAATTTACTATCAGCTGTCTGATTTTTTTGACCTTACGTTCAATCTTTCGCACATATCAAACGCTTTAGATTGAAGTTGAACAGTCGAACAGTCGATTCTGGTTGTGAGTCATGATGAATACTCAGAATCTATTCGGGATATTCTTGGAAGTGAAGAGAGTGAGAAAAAAAGTAAGCAAAAGAGGGGAGCAACTATCTGTAATACTCCTCAATAGTGTTTGTACGATTGTTGATAACATTTCTCTCCGATGAAAATACGGATTATTAATTAATATATGTCGTCAGTGTTTATCGCATCTAAGATCTAATATCGCAAAAAAAATGCATTTCGATGAATTCGCTTGCGTCGAATCGAATCGTCGCGGAATAACGACGGCGTTGCAACCGGAGGCAAAATATGACGTACTTTGTTCCGAGAAGCGGCAAAAGGCACTTCCTCGCTGCCATGATATTCATCGGTCGATTGGTGATTCGACCGACAGTACGGGGAATGTTCATCACGAGACTCATTCAAGTATCTCACTCATTTCTCCGAAACATACATACACATAAATGTCGAGAGGATTAATATAAAAAACGCAGTGTTACAAGGCAGCTGACAATCGATCGATTTATACGTCATCTTCTCGACGAAGAGCGGATCTATTAATCTATCCATTCAGATAATAACAACAAGCATTCGTAACTCGATTTAATCAGAAATAGATGGAAACTTGTCAAAATACATGTCGATTTTACGGTCGATTTTTCAGTTCAGTTTCCACATTAGTATTCTAATAGAGAGATATCGTATGTGAATTATCTCGCAAAATACCATTATCTATATCTATTAGCCATACGGAAATAATCAAAATATGGAATTTATTTCCGCCTTATTATCGGATAATCATACGATTAAAATATCATGCAGAGCACTAAAAAAGAGAGATATTTGCCCAATTTGCTCATGTCATTTCGCATTGGGGCTCGACACTCGACACGAGACAAGTAACTCGCGTTGGCTGAACAATCCAATCGACGCAGCCTCGGTTGTCTTTTCTCGGCCATTTATACTGTTAGTAATACGAGCGACGACGTTTATATCTACACGCCACACGGGCGTGGCGGCGATGCGAATCGCGTGCACCGCTTCCCTCGAGAGGATATCCGGTGTGGAAACGTTTCCCCTCCCGTTCGGTCCCCTCTCTTTCTCTCCTCTTGGTTTCCCTCTCCGTCTTGCTCGATAGAATCGCGCGTATATCATCCTCTGCTCCCCCACCCTCAACGTCATTCTTCTTTCATAGCACGCTAACAGCACGTCCTCAATGAGTCGACCAACAGTCGCATTCGCATTGAAAGTTTTACTTTACGTGAAATACAACGGAGCCCGTGATGGGATTTTTCGTGGACAGACCCTAAGTCTGTCGCAATTCACGCCCATTCATCCGTAAAAATCCCTTTTGCGATCGAGCGAGACTTTGTTGGCTCTTTTCCAAGTTTTTGTATTTCTTTTCTTTTCTCCAATTCTCAGAGTCAGGTCATGGTAATGGATTAATGAATAGCGACTTTTTAGAATTTAAATTTAAACATCTTTGTAATTGATGATGCGTAATTTTTGTCTCTAACGTTTGAGATTTCAAGTCGAATTTTAAATTCCAAAACTAAATGCATTCATAGTATAACTCGAAACGTGTTAAAATTTAAAATACGAACATTTTGAAATGTCTTTAAGAAAAATGTTCTTTTCGATGATTTCATTGAAAACTTTTAAATTCTTTCCTCGTTTTCCTCTCTATATTTTCCTGCGCCATTGCTTTCAGTAATTGCAAGGTTAATTGTCTCTAATTAAGTAAGTCATTCGGGCGATATAAAGAAATTAGTGTACTCGGAATAGCAGTGGCGAAATGTTACCCTCGTTTTCACAATTATATATTTCCTACTCGCTTCCCTCTCTCTCTCACATTTTCTTATATTTTGAGACCTACTTTTATTATGTTTTCATTGAGAATGTTATATCGCAACATTAAATATTTAATTATTGTACAGCGTTGCAATTTCAAAAAACGATAATAAGATATGTTTCTATTATTAGAAATTAACGATAAATATCTCTGGCCTCTTTTCATCCTCGAATAGAGTCGACTACGCGCTTCTAAATTTTGCCGTTTATTTCACGGACATCGCATATTGTTTATCTATAAATAATTATATTCTTGTTTTTTTTTTTTATAGCATAAAGGTACGGATTCTCTTCGGATATAATAATGATTTCAAACTGTGACTACTAAGGTCACATTTTTATCATATTTTCAAGAATTGCCCCGGATAAGGTATCGGTTTTAACGTTAACGTTAGCAAAGACTCGATCGATGACGTCGCATCGCGATGCAGCTTGTAAATCATTCGATTTCACGTAAATGGCCGTGCAGATGTGTACGATGAATGCGCGAGCACGCACGTGCGCATGCAGTTGCACCAACACAGTGCGTCGCACCGCACGTCACGCACAGTCGGAGAGAGGCGCGAGGACAACCTGCAGATGCATGAATGACTCGAAAAATGACGTGCGCGTTTATTGAGCGCGGCCTGCCGATTCGCGCGCGCGTTCTCGCTTGCTCCCAGCAAGGACACGACATATATTTTCCGACTTCGACTAGCGACGGACTCGAACAACTCGAGAACCTTAATCGTCGATCTTCCGACGCACGAGTTTACGCAAATGATGTAAAAATTAGCAATTGCTAATTGATCGAGTATATAAACTACATCGTACCAGCGAGATATATGTAATTTACATATAAAGAGAAAAAACACTCGACACATATAAAATGACATTTTTACAATTTGTTATCGTAAGAAAAATAATATAGATATACATCTGTAAGATATTTTTTTTAAAGAATTTGAAATTTTTTCAAAATATTTTTTATTTTATTTCGTGAATCACTGTATATAAAAAAGAGGGTCAATAACCGAATAGATAGTGTAATAATAAAAATATAATAAAGATAATAAAAAATTGTTTCAATTTTGTACTGAAACAATTTAGCTTTAAGAATGCAAATAGATGACAAAAATATCTTTTTCTATATATAGATAATCGATTATATATTGCGACATCTTCCTTATTCGCCAAAGTCACCTTTATTACCCAAGTTGATGGGCATTCGAGCATACGTTAAAATTTATCTCACGTTATCATTCGTTTGCATTGACCGATGGTTTGTATCCTTCGACAATTATACATAGGCAACTTGGAATGCTGTTCGGAAGGAGAGAAAACAGAGGAAAGGCAAGCACGTATCGATGTGAAATAATAAGCGTAAGAGAGCGACGGAGACGGAATCGTATCGGTAAATCCGATTAAAACTTATATGACTTACGTAAACGAATATGTTTCGAGTTGCAGCGACTACGAAGACGTGTTTCTCGATTCCGCGCACACAATCGATCTTGCACGCCTGCAAGATCCTATTATTGTCACTTCCGGCGGCGTAAAAAAAAAAAAGAGGAGGGTGAGAGTTCTGAAGAATTTGAGAATGATACGCGATCTACGACACTGCGTAACGTTACACGTCATCGTCGTCATCTTTCTCGTCGTCGTCGATTTATTTCTCGAGTTTCTTTCCGGCGTTATTGCCACTCTCGGCCAATTAAAAACGCGTGTTCCCACGATCGGGGTGTATTGCCGAATGTCTTAATAATATAAAGGAACATGCGATCAAAATTCAAGAAGCGGAAAAAGGATCCTTAAATTTATGAATTTTTTCCTAAAAAGAATTCTGTTCGATTTTTCCATTTACGCACATTTGGTTTCGATAGTTTTCAGTGGATAGCAGGGCGCGGATATTTAAATAAATATAAACGTCGGTTATGTTGTCATTGTGAAAGAATAGAGACAAAAATTATCTTTATTTTATATAAGACTGCTTATTAAATTATTTATGTCTTATTCCTGAAATGTTTGCTTTTCCGTTCTCGCGAATGTCAAAACAAGATGTTTATTTTTGTGGAAATATTTTTCTTTCCTGTGTGTAAACTTGTTCTATAGAAAGGAAACATATTTTTCATCTTTGCGTTTCTGATCAGACATTACAACAAAATTATACTTTTCTTGTCAAGAATTTCATTTCCTTAAAGATTTTCATTTGTTTTACAAACTCATCAAATCGCATCAAAATTGGGAGACGGCCGTTTGAAGACAAATTCGAGTTTGATAAACTATTGCACAATATCTGCAGTACAATATATCATTGTAAAAAAGTCTTCTCACGAAAATATATAGAATTTATTTTTAAAACATGAGGGGATATACTTACTGATAATTGCGAGCATATCAGATATATGTCTTGAGTGAAACGATGAAAACTTGATCGGGAGTGATATCCGGAGACCAAGAATGGCACAATAATGAATGAGAGCATCGGCGCATATATATATATATATATGAGAGAATATATATATATATATAAACAAAGTACCTTTTTTTATTTCCTTTTTGTGCGAAAGCACGTAGTCTTTATTTTCCGGTCGCAGTATATACTTTGCTTGTCTTATACAAAGATTACATATACAAAACACATAAGGTTCTCGTACGATTCTTTCATTCATTAGAGTTTTCATTACAGTGTTTTTTCGTTCTCTCTCCTCCTCTTTTTCTCTCCTCTTTCTGTATCTCCGCTTTTCCACGTATCTACAACGTCGTTGCCACCCACGACACACACATTCCATCCGGAGTGACTCTCTCCTTTTCGCGATCGCGCATTTCCAAGAAGCTTCGTCTCCGATGCGACTGGCTTTACCTTTCCTTCATTCTCGTCGTCGATAGAATACGAGAGTCTACTGTTTCGCGATACTCTGTAAATGTAAATATTCCGAATGCAATTGCCGAATCCAACAATCGCATCTCCTTCATCGATCGTCTTCGAGACTTTGCGAATCGAGCACGCGTTTTCTAGGACATAGGCGAGTTTGACCTCGCATCCTTTTTTGTGGCATGTTCTTCAACATAAGTCTAAACGCCGGATACTTTCGGCGGAAGCATGGAAGGATGGAAGAAGCGTCGATTCGAAATTGGAAGGAGAATAAGTTCCAGCGTACGTCATATTGTAGATGCATATTTTATAATATCCTTGTGATGATCGGGACGACTCGACGACTATGCAGGAGACGTCCGTTTGGATTCGCGATATCGTGGAACTCATTGACGATCCGATCTTTCTGCCGAATAGGCGCCGGAAAAGCAAGAGGTCCTAGGATAATGTCGTTGCCGTAATCTTCATCATATCCTAGAGTATCTGGAAGAGTTTTTTCAGTTCCACCATGAGCTGCCAATCGGTTTTCAACAGATCGTCTCTAAAGTACTCCTTGCACGCGTCTATGCTCTGCCGGCTTATCTGTAACAGTTTGAAAAATGGCGCTGTAGTTAATCGTGTTATCATCAAAATCGTTATCGGATACTACAAAATCTACGACATATGTCGTAGATCATCATTTTATTTAAAAAGGAACTGAAACGGTAGATTAAGACGGAAATTTATGCATTTTAACTTATACGTATAAACACTTATTTTATTAATAAAAGCATTTTTATTCTTATATTTTATATTATAATTTTATTTCCTATTTCTCTTTGAGAGCGTCCCGTAACGTCGCGGATATTTAGGTAGTATTTAGGAACGCTATAAAAATTACTTGAAAATTCTTGTGTATAATCCGTAAATCGGAGATAATTCGAGCGCGAATATAATCGAGAGTAGATTGTAGGCACCACTCATCCATGAGCGCTTTAAGGGAAAAAATGTAGCGTCACATGTTACATAATCGAATGACGCAACTTATGTATAACAGAAACACAAGCGTCATTCATGTGACGTGGTGGCAGGCAATGTGTTGAAGGGGAAATCTCGATAAAGCAACAACTCTGGCGGTAATCGCGGCAGCTGCGGCGTTTTCGAAGCGTGCGTGTCTTTTTAACGTGTGCCGGCCGGCACCGTGGGTAATTTTCACGTGTGACGCTTTTCGCAAATAGAGAAGTGCACAAGCGCGCGCGCGTACACCAGTCGGAAACGTAACGCTTCACAACTGTTTCCGCCCCCACTCCCGGCCGGAAGTCCCGTTTCATTCATGGATCGGTCACAATGGTGGTTTTACGCGGCTATTGAGGACGCCTGCCTCCCGCCACGCCCCTTCTCGCTCCTTCTCTCCTCTTCCCGTACCCATTGCCTCTCTGTCTCTCTCTCTCTCTCTCTCTCTCTCTCTCTGACTCTCTGTTTCCTCTGTTCTCTCTACGGTACCGCTTTACCATCTCTCTCTTTTTCGCTCTTCACTTCGCTCCCTCCTTCCCTTTTCCACGTTTCCCCACCTACGTCCGTATTACCGCTCGTAAAGTACGCGGAACGTTGAATATACAACAGTTCGCGGTAATCATAAAAAATTTCACAGACGACGCGAGGCGCAAAACTAATTTAAAGATTTAACTTTTTCACGCGAAATCCGTGATGGCGATTACGCGTCTCTCGGATGTTATTATGCAATTTCGGCCTCTGTGATGAAAAAGCACGATAAGATCGCGCGATCGTGCCGAATCGATTGACGAGAAAGAGAGAAAGAGAGAGAGAGAGAGAGAGAGGAAAAAAAGGAGATGCTAATATTCCTTCGAAAACTATCGGTTTTATAAATGATGAAATTTTTGAGAGCAAGAACATTTGCAGCGCCGTTAAGATGTTTCACGCAAATTTCCGTGATCCACTTTCTTCGTTTCCTCGCGCCAAGATTGAGAACGAACTATTTCCGTGTTCGAATAAATAAACGCATCTTCGAGAGATGCGGCGAGGAAAGTAAGCCGAGAAATATTATGCCTGATGCAAAACAAGCGAAGCAAATGTTCTATGCTGAAAGCAGGAGTGAAAACATTTGTGTTTCAAACTACAAGTATGAAGCAAAAAACATATCCTACATTTTCTTCATATTTTAAGCTCACTTTAGACGATCCATAATTCGTATGACAGAATTTTTTTTACAATTTTATATGTCATGTAATATGAAAAACAGTTTTAAGGAATCAGAATACAAGTATATATATATATATATATATCGGATCAAAATACATGGCACACAAAACGTAAATAAAACTCCATCTTAAATTCTGTTGTGAATTGTAGTTTAAAATGGACTTTATATAGTTTTTACTACCAAGCGTTTCTATCTTGATATATTCTGTACGTATAAATTATTTTTCCTACATATAGTCTGTAATATTTTCCTATAAATATCATCACACTGTCCAGATGACTTTATAAGCTACACAATTATTTAATTTCAGATACACAGTTATTGGAGATACTACAGTTATTTAATTGGAGATTGATTTGTATTTACTGCTTATATTTTTCGTTTCTGATAAACTCTTGTTTATAGAAGCACAAGTTTTAGCTGTAATGCAGAAAATACTCTTTTATATATTCATCTCTCATACGTTAAAGTGAAAAAATTAATGCGTCAGCACCACTTTATTCGTGATTTCTCGCCTCGTATCTGTTTGAAACATTTTTAAGCGAACAAAAGCAAAAGCGTTTGCTTCGCTTCAAGTACGAGTCGACACGTCGGCGGAACAACGGCTTCGAGAGAATCATCGTGGGAACAAGATACTTCCGGAACTGATTCCACGAACCAAACGGTAACGACGACTTCCGCTTGCCTACCAAAGCACAGGAAGATGTTTGAAGCACAACGATAGAACAGACTCGTGGAAAGAAGAAGGAAAACATGGAAGGGTGGTGGAGGGGGAGAAGTAAGGAGGGACGAGAGAAGGGAGGAGGAAGAAAGAATGAAGATGAGACGTCGGTTTGTACGCCGAAGAAAAGATGCCCGGTAGAGTTTCCCACAGGGGAAGAAGCCTACGAAACATCCGTCTTAATTAACGATCGCAACAGTCTTTACGCACATTTCCTCGAGAATAATGTAACGGCGATGGAGTAATTGAAATATGATCCATTCAGCCCCCCATTTTAGATCTTTATTCATCCTTACATATTAATGTAATCTTTGCATTAATTAATATATTTTATACATAAACTTTTTTTTTAGATTTATGAAATGAAATTTTCAAATTCTTATCTCTATTTTTTTTGTTCTATAATCTATAATATTATATTCATTAATATTATTTTACGATTAAACATCTACATTCGTTTTATCTAAATGTTTGAAAAGATATGCCTATTTGCATAAACTTTCCCACTCTTTTTCTTACGGCGAAGCCGTAAAGGCATCGCTGCGATTAATAATAGAATATGAAAAATAAAAGCTTTACACACACATATTACAAAGTGATATAATTAAAACTCTTATATAAATTCTTTAATTTTCTTAAATTGAATCATATTGTATAGATTCCAAAACATCAATACTTTACTAAATTTATGTGATATCTATTAAAGCTTAAAACGTATCGAGATATTAAAAGAGATAAGATAAAACTGTGATATTATATTTCAGTCCATACAGACACGTTACTCTGTATGATTCAAATAATAAATCGTTACTGAATGAGCATACGTGTGTATGTGTATATGTATGATAATTATCGAAGTAAAGGATTTTGTACGAGCGTTAGAATGAAGTTTCCGAAGGAGCGCAGGGCCGATTCTCTCGTCGATTTGTAGTCGATATTCCGGCCTGAAGGAAGAAGACGAAAAAGAAAAAAGAGTAGAAAGTAGAGGGAGAGGGAAGAGAACGAGGGGAGAAGATAGCGAGCTTCTACGAAGGCCGGAAGCCGACGGCGGACGGGCGATCGCCGCCGGATGTTCATCTTCCTTTTTCGATCTAGGTCTCGCATACTAACAAGTCGAATTCGCGTCAAGGCGAAAACGCGTTTCTCAGTTTTGCGTGGTTTAACGCAAGTAAAATAATATGCGATTCAACGTGTGTAAAATAATTCAAATCATCAAGCTTAAAATTTATCGATTTAACAATGTATAACAAATTTAATTATAATTAAGGTTGAATTGATTACTAACGAGACGCATGCAAAATTGGTGCATTTATTTTTCTATAATTTATATGACGACGTTCGACTTTGAAAGTTGAAAAATTTGTTCTTTCAAATTATATAATTACATCTTATAATTTCTTTTTGTATTTAAAGTAAATAGATTGACAAACTGATAGCTAATGCACTTACCTTGCTGACGAGAAAGTCTTTCGCTTCAAAGTGACGACCAAACATTTTCGGCGCTTCTCCCGGTACAGGCTCAATTTTGATGCAAACCTCTTGACCTTTCCTGGCCGATTCCACAGACTTATGATTGTACTCTATGCTAGTTACCATGCCCAAATCAACAAACTGAAATGATAAATTGAACGATAGCAATAAATATTTACATTATATGTGTGTGTTATACATATTTAATATGAATTTTACGTACAAGTAACAATTTATAATTTATATAAAAGAAAAGCTCTATTATACATACGCTGGAAAACAAGAACCAAAAGATTTCGAAATAATACATTTCTTAAAAAAAGTTGTTTTATTTCGTATAATATAATATATATAAAGAAAAGAAAATTTCCCAATGCAAAAACAATGAATCATTTTTAGATTTATGGTCTCAACGAAACAATTGAAATCGAAGGGATCCGAAAGCCTGCTGTCATTTTTGCTCCCTATCCCCCAGTAATACGATGCTACTTCATTCACGTGTGCGTACACTTGATTTAGCATCGTACCGAATGGCCGAACGTGATTTAAAGGCACGATCTACCGAAACAGGTCTCTCCGCGACATAACGAAGCTTATGGTAGCGCGACTTTTTCTTTTTTCTTTTTTTTTTTTTTTTCGCCATCGATCGTCTGTGTCTGGTCGCGTGGGTATAACTCTACGCCTAGGCACACCTTTACCGCGACCGGAAGTCGAGACAGCCGAGTATACCTGAGTAGCACTGCCGTGCCGTGCCGTGCCGTGCCTGCCCCACAACCGAGACGTGGGTACGCATTTTCGTCGAGAATATCAGCGAAAATCGGTGAACCAAGTAGATAGGCGAGATATCTCCCTCTCTCTCCCTTCACCCCTTCTTCTCATATACGTAGATCGACATAGTAAGTTGACCGATGTCACAGGATGTTTGCGAATATCCCGCCAAAGATTTAACGACCGCTTGTCGGGATTTTCAGTCAAATTTTAATCCCGATTATCCCGAGTATTAAGGCAATAATGCGCGAAATATTTTAAGAGAGTGGGGGAGAGAGAGAGAGAGAGAGAGAGAGAGAGAGAGAGAGAGAGAGAGAGAGAGAGAGAGAGAGAGAGAGAGAGAGAGAGAGAGAGAGAGAGAGAGAGAGAGAGAGAGAGAGAGAGAGAGAGAGAGAGAGAGAGAGAGAGAGAGAGAGAGAGAGAGAGAGAGAGAGAGAGAGAGAGAGAGAGAGAGAGAGAGAGAGAGAGAGAGAGAGAGAGAGAGAGAGAGAGAGAGAGAGAGAGAGAGAGAGAGAGAGAGAGAGAGAGAGAGAGAGAGAGAGAGATCACGGCGTGTACATGGCCCTTGGCCCGAGCACGTACGAGACCAAAACCCATGTATGTGTATGTATGTATATATACACATACATGTATATGTGCGCGATATATTAAAAGAGAGGGGGAGAGAGAGAGAGAGAGAGAGAGAGAGAGAGAGAGAGAGAGAGAGAGAGAAAAGGATAAGAGTTTCATTCAAAAATGAGCCAGCTGTTTACTTTACCTATCCTTTTCTCGTTTTTGCGAAAAAAAAAAAAAAAAAAAAAAAAAAAAAAAAAAAAAAAAAAAAAAAAAAAAATGTTGCTCCGACACACCTGCGGTTGCGGGAGCGGGAGTAGCGCAAAGTGGGCGACAAACCTGGATAAACGCGATTGCGTTCAGAGAATTTGCAAGCGCGACCAGTCGTGATTAAAAAAATTCGTACTTTTCGCAAATTTCTCTCTCCCTCTCTCCCTTGTCGGCGATATAATTATAATTTGTAAATGTCTATTATCGCGCAAAACACTGACGCGAAAAAATACAAAAAATAGTGTAGTTTCAAAAAAATCGGAGGGTTCACCTATTCGGAACTTTATCCATATTATGTAATGTTTATCCCGTATCGTAACTATATTAATTATGTATACATATGTATGATATTTGAAGCAAAAAGAGTGGAGGAACCATAAAGAAAACCATAGTTTAGTACAAATATTTTATTTTGAAAGCTTTTCTCTTAATCGCTGCAAAATAGAAAGATGTTGAAAATTGCGGTTGATGAAACAAAGCTGATATAATCGATACAGATCGCGAATCGCATACAGTCACGAAGCGAGTAAGTAACGTTATCGTTAGGTGGACAATGACCGGCCGATGTTGTATCCTGAAACCTACGCCAAGAGAGCAGCGATACGTTCGTTCAACCGCGCGGCTAGTCGAACGAGACACCCGGTATCCCCGCCAATGTTCAATAGCCGAGGGGCAACGCTTTTCAACGCTTTTAAACGACAAAATAACGCAAATGTATATATGTCATAAAATATAAAATATTGATAAACAAATACAAGCTATCCAGATTAATCGCGCTTCTTTTAGATTTCCTACAACTATAATTTTTTTCAGTTGATTTTAAATAAAATTTTCTATAATTTTAGTGATATGAATGGTTGGAAAGAAATTTAAAAATTATATACACAGTTACGAAATTAATCAAATGTTTTAAAAAATTTATCCAAGTTTTTAATAAAATAAAAAGGAGAAAGGAAAAAAAAACAAAGTACGTAAAAAGAGATTTTTATACTTGCATATCATTAGAGAAAACAAAAATACAAAATATATTTTTTACTATAATTTTTTTGGAATTTTCGGAATACTCGATCAATTTCTCGAGTTACTGTATATTGAACGTAGAAAAAGCTGTTGTTGGAAATATGCATCCATGTCTAATTATTCTTGAAATCCGTATACATACAACAATTCATGTTTTGTTATTTAATTTTGCCAACGTTAAGATAGACCAAAATGAATTTTTGTTTACCGCTCACCGTGTCATCTTGGAATGCATATTTTTTCACTTTCGTGTAAATTATATTCAAGTGTAATAATTAAAGGCGATACTGAAAAATGAAAAATATACATGGACGCGCGAGAAATATTGCGCGTGTTGCAGTTAATCAGCTCCGACGCGAAAAAAAGGATATACGATCGTCCGTTCACCCGTGCCGTGCATGTTCCTCGATATACTCTTCTGGCGGGTCGGGCGTATTTTTATGGCGTATCCCCGTCGTCAAATTCTCGACACTCGGCCGCGACCGAAAGGAATTACCATATAGGTGCACGTGTGCAGGCGGGCAAACGAACCTTGTTCGTCCTCCGTCTCGACCTTCTCCGCCCTTCCTTCGCTTTTCTTCACAATCCTCTCTTGTGGGCTCTGCTCTCTCTTTCTCTTAACCGCTCGAGGTTTTAAGATAAAGTCTGTCGAGACTGTCGAAGGACTGACCGCTAATTTCGTACCGTCCATCTTCTCATTTTTCGTCTCTCAGATGTATATATAACATTACGCGACGTGTTTTACGACTGTTGTTTCTTTCGTTCCTGTTACTAAGAATTTCGGAAGTCCCGAGGTCACAAACGTTCGACTAAAGTTTCATAGATAAATATCATTTTGATCGTGATATTCGCAAGCGATACAATTTTTAATTATCGCTAAAAATTTCCATATATTTTAAAAATAAAAAAATAATTTTGACGACTGAATCGAAAGACTTTTCCGCTACGGTATTTAGATACTCTTCGACTGTGGCGCATTAAAAGCCTATCATTTCTTTTCTCTGAAAAAAATAGGGATTATCCCGAGTCCGCAAGGGGCTTAACAGCTTTACAGCTTAAAAATCTGGTCGCCGCCGCGCGCAGATATAACTCGGCTCTCGTCTCCTGAAATTACGGAAGCCATTACGAATGTTATCGGCGCGCTTTACCTTTTACGACTAACGTTTCAATAGAACGCGAGAGGAGGCAAGAGCGACAGATAGGTATTTCGTTGTCTCTCTCTCCAGTTAATCAGCTCCGACGCGAAAAAAAGGATATACGATCGTCCGTTCACCCGTGCCGTGCATGTTCCTCGATATACTCTTCTGGCGGGTCGGGCGTATTTTTATGGCGTATCCCCGTCGTCAAATTCTCGACACTCGGCCGCGACCGAAAGGAATTACCATATAGGTGCACGTGTGCAGGCGGGCAAACGAACCTTGTTCGTCCTCCGTCTCGACCTTCTCCGCCCTTCCTTCGCTTTTCTTCACAATCCTCTCTTCTGGGCTCTGCTCTCTCTTTCTCTTAACCGCTCGAGGTTTTAAGATAAAGTCTGTCGAGACTGTCGAAGGACTGACCGCTAATTTCGTACCGTCCATCTTCTCATTTTTCGTCTCTCAGATGTATATATAACATTACGCGACGTGTTTTACGACTGTTGTTTCTTTCGTTCCTGTTACTAAGAATTTCGGAAGTCCCGAGGTCACAAACGTTCGACTAAAGTTTCATAGATAAATATCATTTTGATCGTGATATTCGCAAGCGATACAATTTTTAATTATCGCTAAAAATTTCCATATATTTTAAAAATAAAAAAATAATTTTGACGACTGAATCGAAAGACTTTTCCGCTACGGTATTTAGATACTCTTCGACTGTGGCGCATTAAAAGCCTATCATTTCTTTTCTCTGAAAAAAATAGGGATTATCCCGAGTCCGCAAGGGGCTTAACAGCTTTACAGCTTAAAAATCTGGTCGCCGCCGCGCGCAGATATAACTCGGCTCTCGTCTCCTGAAATTACGGAAGCCATTACGAATGTTATCGGCGCGCTTTACCTTTTACGACTAACGTTTCAATAGAACGCGAGAGGAGGCAAGAGCGACAGATAGGTATTTCGTTGTCTCTCTCTCTCTCTCTCTCTCTCTGTCTCTCGCTTAAATTCAAACGGGCCTGGATGCGAGACGCGTGGGCCCGGACATACACCGTCCACTTTAGATTTATCTCGTTCTAAGTGTTGGAGAGACGACACGAGGATCTCTCTCGCGCTGCGCCACGTGGGCGAAGAAGAGCCCTGCGGGGTCGGGCGATGGCGACGACGAAGATGAAACGGAAAAGCGTGCACATGCCTTATCTCCGCTCGTCTTCCGATGCTAAACTATCTAACTGTTCGTGCCGACACCCACTCCTTCGTTGCAGTTTCTCCGATAAGTCCTCGCTGTACCATTACCATATGCTTATCGATATGTTCATTGCATTTGAAGTACACATCAATAGCTTTTACGATTTTACGTCTGGCTGCACGTGCAAAGTCGAATAATTTTGAAATCTCATCCGAATCTCGTCAAAGG